CTGGCATGTGGTGCTGGGGGATTGAACCGCGGTCCCTGGGCTTTGCTAAGCTTGTTCTAAGTAGGTGCTTTAGACCACTGAGCCATCTCACCAGCCCTCCTCAATGTTTTAAGGTTTGAGTTTTTCTTGAAAAAAAACTACACCCCAAATTTTCTTTTCTTGATTGGTAGCTATACAAATAAGCTCCTCAATGTTTCAAGATTTGTTTAAGTTTTTCTTTGAAAAAAACAGGGTCTTGCTATGTACCCCAGGCTGGCCTCGAACTTCTGCCTCAGCTTCTCAGGTACTGGGCTTTAAAGCCTTCACCACCACACCAGGCCTGAGGTTTCGGGGTTTTTGAAGCTGATTGACTCTAAGAAAACTGAAGTTATCAGCATGAATATATAATAAGTGGAAAATTCCATCTCTCGGCTTAACCTGGCTGTCTTGATCGATGTTGAATTTGGCTGGGGTGAACTACTATCCATGCCGTATCTCTGAGCATTTTTCTTTTCCTTTGGCCCATTTTAGACACAAACGACCTGCAGTCCACTAAAATGAGTCATTTGGACCAAGGACAGAATTTAAAGCCACACAGCCCTAACTTGTGCCCCAGTTTTGTCTCTCATGGGCTGTGATTCCTGAAAGCGACTCACAGCTTTCTTTATAAAATGGGTTACCGCTGTTAACTCATTTCTCAAGGCGGATCCAAAGAGCCAGAGGAGATGATATAGTGCTCGGAAAATGGATTTGGTTGTTACCAGAATCCTTATGGAAACTCACCATGTGTGATAGCTGAGTAAGTCCTACATGGAATAGGTCTCCCTGTTCAGCCCTGCCAAAGCCACCACCTGACCCCCAAGCTGAGCACCGATCTTCAGGGGCTCGAAAGGAAATAATTAAGATAACACCTGCAGCCTGCTTGGGAGCACACAGCCCAGACTTTGAGACTTACCCAATTTCTTTTCAAAGTCGGTATTTGTGTTAAGAAAAATGAAGGCTGGGGAGATAGCTGGGCGGTCTAGGCACCTGCCTCGGAAGCGCAAGGACCCAGTTCATTCCCCAGTACCTCATGCCATGCCAGCCCCAGACCACCACCACGACCACTGCCCCACCCCAGGTAGCTGTGCCAGCCCTGAAAGTGGGCATGATGGTGCACACCTGTAATCCCAGCTCTGGAGAGGCTGAGACAGGAGGATCACTAAGAGTCTGAACTGCATAGTGAGACCCTGTATCAAATAAATAAAAATAAATTTAAAACAAAAAGGAAAGCTGAGGTGCTTAAGTGCTTAGTCTGTGAGCCTCTGCCTGTCTGTCTCTCTTTCACCTTGCACAGGGCTGTCTCTGGAGGCTGATTTCAAAGACAGACCCACTTGGTTATTACCAAGAGTCCTTTCCACACTGTCCACTAGTTACAGTATTATAGTCTCACCTGGGACTTCATCCTGGCTTCCTCATTTTAGATAGGAGAAACTGAGGCTGTGAGGCTGCCCAGGTTCACGCAGTGGAGTCATGGCTGCCCTCTGACCTCTCAGGTTTTTGGCCTTTCTCTCTTGTGCTGTAGTTAGCTACATGTCTCTCTGAAGCAAAGAAACACTTCCCCTAGACACCAGACTGATTCCTCTTGAGATTCGCTTCCTTTACATCCGCTTACTTACAATGGTGAATCCTTGAAGCTGTTACCAGTCATGTGAGGAAAGTTAGGCGTGGGGACAGGTGGCAGGTAAGGGGTCATGCTGAGATGGGGACCAAGAGGACATCATAGTTGTGCTCTGAGCTGACCTCTATGGCCTCCACCAGAATCCACCTCATGGAAACTTTACTGGAAAATCAACTTCCCAGAGCTGACACCGTCACAGAGGCCCTACCAGTCTGCGCTGTCATGGTCTGCCTCTTCCAAAAGGCTGACCCTGAGGCGGGTGGCCTGGTCCCCTTGCCAACCCTTCCAGCGCTGGGCTTCTGAGCTGCAAAAGGTGGGCTCCCTGCCAGCCCTTGGCAGAGGACTCCTGTTTGCAGCGCTATGCAGCCCCAGGTTACCAGGGGACCTGGTGGTGGCCCACGACAAGCCTTTGCCTTCTCTCCCAACCCAACCCTGAAAACCAGGCTTAGCCCAGCTCCTCACCTCTGCTGCTGCCAGCTTAGCTCCTGGGGCCTGGGCAGGTGCCCTATCCTCACCTGCAGAACTTGTTCTTGCTTTAAGCCTAGGTAAGCTCTGTAACTGAATCTTTATCCCTACTTAGGGCTTTGTTCCCTTGACTGTGGAAACCCTGGGAACTCCTGGGCCCGGCAGCTTGACTCTTTCTTTTTGGGTCTATGTCTCTGTCTGTCTGTCTGTCTGTCTGTCTGTCTGTCTGTCTGTCTCCCTTGTTTCTCTGGCTCTACCTCCTGACTCAGTCTCCCCCTCCACCATTCTCACTGGAGGTCCCTCCTGTCTCTCTTGGTCTCATTCCCTTTCTGCCTCTATGACTCCCAGCAGGCTGTGTCCACACAGACCCCCAACTCCACCTTCCAGGCATCAGCCCTGCTCCTTGGCCGACAGCCACATCCCACTTAGCTCTCTTGAGATGGATGGGCTGCCCGCCACTAATCCTCCTGCCTTCTAAGTGGCCACAGCCAGGTGTCCCATGGTTGACACGGAAAGTGAGAAACCACTCATGAGGCCCTTTTGCTGTGACCTCGTCCCATTAGGTCCTCTCCTGGTCCTGCGAAGGAGGAGAACAGGACACTCAGAGGAAAGGGATACAGCTGAGACCAGATGACCATAAGAAGCACAGTGGTGCTGACCCAGCCCCATCCCCAGCCACATCCATGGCACCAGGAAGTGAGCCTTCTCTCCTAAAGCCTCCTGATCTGAACCCAGTGCCCCCAGGTGACTTCTGTCCCTGGGAGCTGCTGCCACATTCACTCCACACTTAGGAGACAGTGTTTGTCCGGAACCCAGCAGGGCAAGTTGAGCAAAGAACATGGCAGAGGTTAAAAATCTTGTTTCCAAATCCCATTTGCCATTCTTGCCTGGAACTGTGAATTGTTAATTCAATTCTGGCTTAATTCTAATTTAATTTGCAGCAAACGCCATCTGTTTAGATTCAGCACTTTGCTTGACGTGGAACAATGCGGCTCAGCTTGACTGCTCCTCTGAGGAAGGAGCGCCTGGTTGGGAGGAGGCTGCCGGCCTGGGAAAGCAGAGAGAGCCGGGCTGGCTCCTCTTTTCTGCCCCTCACCTCCCCCCACACACTTCCTATGTCTCTTCTGGACCCAGTGCTCCTCTTAGAGATGCAGCAAAGATGGAATTATACCACATAGCAAAACAGAATGCCTGGGCGCAGAGCGAACCCTGGGATGTGTATTAGCTGTCCCTAGAACTTTCTCTTTCCACCCTCCTGGCCCCTTTCCTCTCACTTCTGTTGGAATCTGCCCCCTCTCCCTTTCACTTCAGATACCTTTTAGTCCTGGCTCCAACTTGTTTGTACCACCTCTGAGGTCTCCCTGCTTTTCCTGACAGTTACTCCTTTGCCTCCCTAAAGCTGAGGCCAGGCAGAGGGGGCCTCTGAAGTCACTGCCTCTGCTAGCTGAGGCCTGATCATGGGGCATGAGAGACTGTGACACATCAAGGGCAGGATGCCAGGCAGAGGGGCACAAATGTGAGTGTCCCCAGGTGAGCCAGAATCTGCTTGCAGTCCTAGGGCCACTCTGACTACTGGCATCCCAGGGAAACTGAGATTTTTTGGGTCTGCAAAAGCACTGTGTAAACCTCTGAGTGCTGAAGTCCCGTGAGCGTTGTCCTCTCTGCGTCTCTTTCTGCACCAGAAGCATAATGAACAAGGGTAGCACACTCCGAAATCTTTACCTCTCTCGTTTTTTAGAAACAATTTGTAAGGGATTTTATCAAGTGGCCCACCTCCCTCAGCCTGACCCACTGAGAAAATGTCACCAACTCTCAAGTTCTGTTTCTCACTTTTAGAGCCCAGGTTTTCTTCCACAGAAAGGGTTCGTGTCCCCCTTTGTCTGATGCAGGAGTCCCAGGAATTTCCTGCCCAGACTGAAGCCTCAGATCCCCGCAGCTGTCCTCAGAACTTTCTTTCCCAGCATTGCTCATGGTAACCCTTCCTGTGGTGACTATCTCAGATCCCCAAGTGCCACTGTGGGACTGCCCAGGGTCTCCAACCCAGCTCTGGGGGAGTCCCTCCTCAGCTTGGGGATCTTTGTGGGTCAGAGGCTGGGTTCCCTGGCATGCCGTGAAAGCCTCCTTAGGAGTTGCCCCTCCAATGCTTACTCCTTCCCCTTGCCCTTCTCAAAGGGAAAAGCTGATCATTTCTTCCCAGTCCTCAGGAGGAAGTCCTGGCTTACAGCACCCTTTGGGCTCTGGGTCTTGTTCCCTTTGCCAACTCCTTCACATTCTTTAAGACCCAGCCCAGATATCACCTCCTTCCCAGACTGACCCCCCCCCCCGCCCCACCCTTCCCTGTTCTTGTCTTTATCTTCCTCCCTGTTGGGCTGTGGAGTCCAAGGGGTCCACCTTCCCCTCCATATTTCCACAAGGCCTTGAGGTGTGCTCAGGTGTTTGTACAGAGAGGCAGCATCCAAACCAAGCCATCTTCAGGAGAACCCTCCTGTCCTGTATCCTGGAAATTGCAAGAAACACCTCTTAGAAGAGAGGAGAACCAGAGCTGGCTTTGGGTGTGAGGGGCCTGTGCTGTTGGCACTCCTTGAACCCGGAGGGCCACCACACCCTCCGTTTCCTCTCATTGTGCCTCCTTTCCTGTTTAGCTAGACTGGGAGGCTGGGGACATTATCCCTGCCTCTGAGGACCTGCCTGAATGGAGCTGTTTCATTTCTCCTTTGTCTCCCCCAACTGCTGAGACCCATATCTCTGACTCGCAAGTGGGTTCTAGAATTTCCAGACTCCGGTCCGAATCCCAGTTCTGTCCACTTAGCTGTGTGAGGAGCAGCCATGGTCGCATCCCTCTGTGCCTCAGTTTCCTTATTGGTAAACAGGGAATGAATAAAGGCATTTGTGCCTGGGACTGCAAGGGCTCAATGAGCTAGGGTGTCCCTTCCTCTCGGCAGCACCAGCTTTGGGCATCTCATTCTTGTCCCCAGCCCTGTGCATGTGGGAGCTCTGGGGAGAGCCCAGCTGGACACTGCTGGATGTCTCAAGTCCAAACATCCTGTGCTTTTTTTGAATTCTTTACTGGAGAAAAGGGAAACAGGGGAAAGCTGCAGTTTTTTTTTTTCCTCTACCGGTATCGGGTAACAGAAAACACAAACCCGGCTGGGTTGAACTGGAAACAAATCTCAGCTACCGAAAAGGGTGGTGGGTGGTGGCTCCTTCCCTGGATTAGGGCTGAGTCCGTGGGAACTGGACCACCCCTAAGACAGGAGGGCAGCCCCATGCCTCCCGAGGGTTTGGGCCTACACCAGAGCGCCTTCCTGCTAGGGAGGGGGCGCCTTGGGCTCACGTCCTCCCCACCCCTCCTGCCTCCCTCCCTGCAGGTAAACTTCCGCAGCCCCCGGAGCAGCCAGAGGTGCTGGGCCACAAGGACCCAAGTGGAGAAGCGGCTGATAGTTCTGGTGGCTCTTCTGGCAGCAGGACTGGTGGCCTGCCTGACAGCACTGGGCATCCAGTACCGGACAAGTAGGTACCTCCGCATTCCATGTGGGCTGGGTTCCCTTCTGCCCTGCGCTCTGTCCATGTGTACGAAGCGCTTCTCTGCTTGAGCTCGAAGTGGCCTCCACAGAAAGCCTAGCGGCTCCAACTGGGCCCAGGGTCTGAAGGAGTGTGAAGATTTTGGAGTGAGAGGGATGGGAGTCCACACCCTCACTTGGTAACAAAGAGGCTGTATGACCTTAGACACACAGACTGTGAACCTGTTTTCCTAGAACCTGTCTTCTCTACTTTAAATGGAGGAAAACAGTACCCAATCTGGGGATAGCTCTGGGGACATCCTAGTGCCTCGAATAATTCTGGGTACTGTGGTCAAGCTGTGAGGCTTGTTAGGAGTAGGCTGACACAGTCTGCCATCGATAGTCCCACTGGACTAGCAGTAGCAGCTTCTGCTCATGAGTGGTTGCCAAGGACCAAATGCTACCTGTCCTTACAGGTGCCCCCTCATTTCCTCCTCCTAACACCCTCAGGACTGGTGAGGTGGGTTTACCCTTGGTCCTTCTCCATATGAGAGACTGAGGCATGAGACCAAGTGACTTGTCTGGGGGTACATAATGGGGGATGGAGTGGGGCAGCTGGAGTTTGCCCAGAGGCTGTGGGGCTGGTATGAGGGGGGGCCACATCCCCTGGGAATCCCAGGGCATGCATAGTAGTACCCCAGAAAAGCTATCCTTTGACCCAGCACATTATGTCTCTGTTTCTTTCCCATCTTCTATGGCAACAGAATGGGCCCTTCTGTCATCCTGCTGCCAGGAGCCCAACTCTGGTTCTGCAGGTCCAGCCCAGTAGGCCTGGCCAACCACCTCACTGTCCACTTAGTGCTTATAGAACTAGAAAGGGTGTGTCCAGGTTAAAATCTACAGGGGAGTCCAGCCAATCCCAGAGTCCCTCCCTCCTGTAGCCCAGCAATTCACAATTCCAATGGTCTCCTTGATGGAGCAGCCACAAAGACTTTGCTCAGGGTCACCCCAGAAGCATGATCACTGGCCCCACCAGACAGACTGACTGTGTTTGCCTTCTCTACAGCAAAGGTGCCACCTATGAGGTGGCCATGCTAGACTAGGATGAGGAATGGCCCCAGGGACCTTGAGTGAGGACAAGGACTTCAGCTGGGCCATCCTTCCACCTCTCCCACGTGGGCCACGTAGTCATTCATTCTATAAACATTTAATGACTTTCCATCAGTCATTAGGCTAAGTACCTACTTAGTACTTAAGAAATAATCGCTTGATTATTTAACTATGTGGTGCTGTATGGGTGGTTTACCAGATGTGCCTAGCCCAGCAGGTGCTTAATGCGCATCTGCTTAATTAAGCACTAGTTTCCAGGCCTTTAGCCATGTATATTAGCACAGTGTCTGCACACCGTAGGTGTCCCAATAGTAAGTTGAATGAGTGATCAGTAAGACAGAGGAATTGAGCTGGGAACAGCCTTTCTGTGCTATAAGTGTATGTGTACATGACTGCAAGTGTGTGTTTGTGTATATTGTGTGTGCGTGTGTTTGTGTATATTGTGTGTGTGCAGCATGAGGACAATCAGTGGAGCACAGGCTGATTGTCCTCATGCTGCGCTGTCTTCCTGCCCCATCCTAAATCAGCCTCAGTTCAGAGCATCCCACCTGTGTATGTGGGCCCTGGCCAGTACCGTCTGCCCAGCTCTTGGCCCAAGACATGGAAGGCAGGGTGGACTATTGTCACCCTGAAACTGCCCCTCAAAGCTCCCAAGATGTTTCTTCACAAGAACCATAAAGGAGCCCAAGGGGACAGTTCCTTGTGATCAGATCCAATGCTTGTCCACTCATATTGCCAACGCCTGCTTCTGCCTTTGTCTCACTTCCAGAGCCTCAGAGAGGTTTTCCCCAGCCTGGACCTGGGAGAGGATTGTCCCTCTTCCCCTGTAGTAGAATTGAGCTGAGGGCCAGTGACCCCTGGACCACCAGAGAAAGCAGTGGCCGCCCCAGATACTGAGAGCAACCTCATTACTCAGAAGCGGTGCTGACATTGGCCATACTTGAGCCAACATCAGACCCGTCAAAACAAAGCCTCTGATGATTCTAGAAGCCCCACTTCTCGGTGATGTCTGGGCAGTTCAGCACATCTTGACCTTCCTTCCTGCTGTACCCTGCTTTCCAGAACCTTGAAGCTGCTTTGTAAATGGTAGCAGTAAAACCAACAAATTCTCAGGAAATATTTTAAAGCATCTTAGGTGCTGTCTTAGTTACTTTTCTCTTATTGGTGGGACAAAATACCTAACATCCAAAATTAAGGAAGGAAAAGTTATCTAGCTCACAGTTTGTGGAGGTTTCAGTCTAATCAGCTGGCTTCAAGGCAGGGTGGCATGGCACAGGGGCACCAGTCTAAGGTGGCAGAAGACAGCAAAAGCAACAAGATCCAAAAGGGGAAAGCAAGCTTCTTTTCCTCCTGTATTTTATTATGCAGGTGGGTGTAGCACTTGCACCATCTCTGTGCCCTCCTCTTGCACAAGATAAGGATGTTTACAGAGTGAGGACCCTGGACCCCTGCTGAGTTGCTTAGTTAAACTTCTAAACTTCTCAAGGTAGGCAAAGCGCTGTCCAGATGAGTGAGTTCGATCAGGGATTGACTCCTTCCTTCCCAACTGCTCATGCACTTCCTAAAGGGAAGAAAAGCTTCCTGCCTCTGCAGGTGGTGACCAAGTGCTGGGTGAAATGCTTTCGCTCAGTCTGTCACTTATTTATTCCACCAACATGTGTTGAACAGCTGCTAGAAGCAAAGCAAGTGCTGACCGAAAGACATAGACAAGCAAGTTTTTCTAAGCAGGAAGGGAGCTGGGAGCTGCTCATGACCTTGCATAGTCCATGCTAGGAGAGCAGATGCCAGGCATCCCAGGGCCCTAGGGTGGAAAGAGATCCCAGCAAGGTTTACCTCAGGGGCAGGAGGCTTAGCTCAGGAACCAGAAGCCATCAAGTATCTTTGGCTTAAGATCTATAGACTGTTAAGTGGCTAAATAACCAAGAAGTCATTGCCTAAGCACTCTGGAGGAACCAGGCATAGCAGAAGAGGTACTTAGCAAAGGATTTAGATCTCTGAGACCAACTTCTATATACCAACTCCTCATTTTTAAACTCAAGTCTGTCTACCTTACAGTCAGTCCACTGGCTATTTCTACCAGCCAAAATTTTGTCAGGCTTGACTTCCTGTGGTTTGGTATGTAAAAACAATAGGTATTCTTTCTCCTTCCCAAACATGGAGTTGTATCATAATAGTGAATAAGTTGTTTTGGTGCAGAAATTCTACCCCAGCCTGTGAAGATTCCAGCCATCCCATGCTGTAGACTGAAGCAATAACTCTGACAGAGATGATCTGATTTAGAAATACTGAAAACGGGGATGGTGAGATGGCTCAGTGGTCTAAAGCACCTACTTAGAACAAGCTTAGCAAAGCACAGGGACCACGGGTCAATCCCCCAGCACCACATGCCAGCCAGCCCCGTCCCTTGGTGGGCTGAGCTGGCCACACACACACACACACACACACACACACAAATAAATAAATAAATAAAATTTAAAAAAATACTAAAAACGGCAGCAACACCCCCACCATCGAAGTCACCCTGAGCGCACTGTTCTTGTGTGGCTCCCAAACCCTTTATCCTCCTGAAGGATTTTGTGTGCATTCATGGATGTTGGTAAAACCACAAGTGAACCGCTCCTGGCCTGCACTGGCACCAGTGTGGTGTTTCTGACTTAGGTGAGAGTGACCCCAGTCACCCCAACATTCTTTCTTGTTCCCTGAAGCTTAGCCTGGGACCCTCCTTTTTTTTTTTTCTGGAACCGAGGATTGAACTCAGGCCCTTATGCTTACCAGGGAAGCATTTATTCCACTGAGCCATCTCCCCACCCCCCTCGATCCTGAATCCTGAGGAAACTGAGCCCTGTGCCCAGCCATGAAATCATTCCATCATTACTGTGAAATCAATTCTCCTGTTCTGGTTTCTAGATAGAGAAACCGAGGCTCAGAGAGGTGAGGCCACTTGCAGGAGACTCCATGGGCAGAAGCAGAGAGGTGAGATATGATCCGAGGTCTAATAGTCTGGGAGCCATCCACCTCGTGTGGTAGGAAGTCTGATCTTGCCTATCTGGTTGCACCAGCCCTTGGCATGGCTGGCAAAGAGGTGAGGAGGAAGCAAGAAAAAGCAGTCCTGGAGTTGCCGCACCAGGACAGGCCAGGGCTTGGCTCTCAGCTTGCCCACGGTGACCTCGTTCCCGTTCCTCTGTAAGAGCTTCTGTTTCCTTGTCTATACACTGGGATGTCGCATCTCTATCTGATGTGTATAATGAGGGTTGGATAAGACAATGAGCGTGTGTGAAGCTCCTGTTCAGGACCTGGGCCCTGCTGTCACCTGAACATCTTGTGTCACCTAGCACAAGGCTGACTCTGGGTCCTTAAGCTAAGCAGAGTCTGGGTCATCTTGCTGCCTCTGCTGGACCCTGCTGGGGGGCTGCCACACTTCAGGCCTTTTGTAGAGCCCCCCCCCCCCAACCCTGAGGCAGGACTCTGCTCCCCGCACACACAGACTTTCAGCCAACCAGTCTTTTAAGTTTTTGTGATTTAGTGTGTCTTGGGTTCATTTAGTTGGGAGCTTTCTTTGGAGGACTCGCTGAGGTAACTGACTCTTCCACCTGTGCTCGGTGTTTTCCTCAGCTCCCTGCCCCCATTCCCAATGGTCAGCCCTCCCTCCAGTGTCTGGCACCATCTTGGCAGTATCACTCGCTTGATGCCCAGTCAATGTTCAGTTTATTTGGTACTATGGATGGCAGTTTCTCCTATGGTTGTATTTTTTTGCGGAACCGGGGATTGAACTCAGGCCCTTGTGCTTGCCAGGGAAGTGCTTATTCCACTGAGCCATCTCCCTGGCCCCGCCTCCTATGGTTGTATTTTCTTTTTTCTTGTATGATGTGTTTATACAAGTCTTTAAGAAAAAGTCTTACTTTCATGTCCCCCATGTGTTCTCTGTCTCTCTCTCTCTCTCTCTCTCTCTCTCTCTCTCTCTCTCTCTCACACACACACACACACACACACACACACATACCCACACACATAGTGAAGAACCTGTTAGACATTCGGAATTTTATTTTGCTGAATAGATGGATGCATGAATGTTTGCTGAGCATCGGGGAACAATAGTAAGTGAACTTCTGTAGAGAGAATGGTTAAGAGAAAAACATCGCACTCCACTTCCAGGTACTTTGAAGCTACAAGAAGCATATTAGGCAGCTAAATGGAAGTCTTATTTTATAAGCCAGGAGATTATAAATCTCTTGAAATCATTTCTCATTAGATACAATGGCTGCTCCAATCTATCTGGTCAGGACTAGGCTGAGGTCTATGTCCCCTGGGCCCCAAGCCACTTGCACTGTCCACCCCCAGCCTCTTCCCCGCCTGCCCTTCAATGCCTTTGTCCTTGACCCCTCTAGGAACACCCCCGGTATGCCTGAGTGAGGCCTGTGTGTCCGTGACCAGCTCCATCCTGAACTCCATGGACCCCACAGTGGACCCCTGTCAAGACTTCTTCAGCTATGCCTGTGGGGGCTGGATCAAGGCCAACCCTGTGCCTGATGGCCATTCACGCTGGGGGACTTTCAGCAACCTCTGGGAACACAACCAAGCCATCATCAAGCACCTGCTTGGTAAGCACCAAGAGGGAGACTGAGGGATGGGCCCCTGAGAGGTGCTGCATACTGTACCTGCTAGCCAGGCTCGGTCGGAGCAAGTGGAGACAGGACGCCAAGACTGAAGGCTTTGGAGTAGGTGAAGGGAGGTGGAGTGGCTGCCTGTCACTCACTGTGGGATGCTGCTGTGTAAGGTTTTTATCTCCAAGCTTCACTCTTTTCATCTGTGAGATGAAACAAATAACACCCAGAGTGCAGGGCTAGGGAGATAGCTCAGTAGAATAAGCGCTTACCTGGCAAGCGCAAGGTCTTGAGTTCAATCCCCGGTTCCGCAAAAAAAAAAAAAAAAAAAAAAAAAAAAAAAAAAAAAAAAAACAAGACCCAGACTACAGACTTCAGAGCCCTGGAAAGCACACATATAAAATGTCAGCATAATATGACACATGGCCAGGGCACAAGTGCTAGTGCTTGTGGGTTTTTGTTTTTTTTTTTTTTTTCTTTTGTGGCTTCAAGATGCAGGTTAGTTCTTGACCGGCACCAACTAAGTTTTAAAGGTAGTGAGTGAAAAGAATCAAGGCTGGATGCACTAGATCAGATTTTAAGGTCATGGTCCAGTGAAAGTTGTAACAGCAGTTTATCAGAGAGTGAATTATTTCATGGAGGTGGGCAGTGTCTGTGGCCTGCTGATAACCAGGCCTGCAGGATAAGCCATCGGGCCAAAGTCCTTTGGATTAGGTGTTAGCTCTACCCTTGGGTTAGAGTTCCATACGTGTCTCATTTGCAGCCCTATTCCTAGTTAATATTTGGTGACTAGAGTTTTCCTCTAGAAGGGAATCCCATTCAAATAAGAGAACTTAACAATAAAAGGGGCTACAGATGAATGTCCATTTTGTATCTGTGTATTCAAAGTGGTTAGGATAGATATATAGTTACATTCTCTTAATGAATAGAGGGATTTGTTCTAATGGTGTTTGTAAATAGGATATCATGTCCGCATCTTGTACAGCAATTAACCACTAGGAAGGATGTATGCAATGTGTTAATTATTGAAACTGTCCTACCAATTTGGTTTGAAACTGTCTCATTGCTATTTGTTTCTCAATAAAATTATGGAAAAAATAAATTTACAAAAGACAGAAAAAAAAAAAAAGGGGGAATCCCAGAACCACAGAGGTCCCAGCTCAAAGCCCTGGGCAGCTCGACCTTGGTCATCTCCCCCTCCTGTACCTTGCTTATTCTGGAATCCATGCAGGGAGAGACCAGGTCATGAAGAGCCATTTTGTTCATCCCTCAACTACAGAACTCAAGATTTGACAGATACTTCCATTTTTTAAAAATCTTCAAGAGACTTAGTAGTAGGTAATATAGAAAGAGCTACCCACAAAGGAACGCATCTTCTCAATGGGACAGAAACCTTGGGAGCTAGGAGATGATTCAAAATTGACAGTTTTGACTTTAAGGCAGCTGCATCTCTTAGAGAAAAGTAGGGCCACACAAATAGGTGGCCAGAGACTGGGCCTTTCTTTCCTACCCAGCCCCTGTCTGGGCTTATTTTTCCATAAATAAGTGAGAAGCACGCATTAATGGAGAAATCCATTCAAAGTGCTCCCTTGGTGTGTGGAACAGGCTGTGGTGGTTGCTGTTTGTACCAGTGTCATTCTTATTGGCCACCGTGGAAGGTCACCACAACCTTTGCCTAACACTTTGTAGTTTACAGAGCTCTCCTGTAGCATCATCCCGTTTGATCCTGTAGGGTGAGAGTTGTTCGCTTCATCTAACAGATAAGGAAACTCAGGATAGGCCCGTGGTTGGCAGAGCTGGGACTTGTGTGATTCCTGGTCGTGCGCCCTTTCCGTGCCGCATTGTCTAACAGGTGGATACAGCTTCCTTCCCATCTTGTTGAAAAGAGCAGCAGGGAGCACAGAGCTCTGAGGTCTTACAGGAAAGAGAAGGAGGTTGATGTTGTCGAGTGTCTTCCACGTGCTGGGTGCTGTGCTAGACTCTCTCTACTGCAAAACTTAGCAACCACCGTTCCCACTTTATAGATGAAGAAACTGAGCCACAGAGAGGTTAATAACTTTGCCACGAATGCACCATCCATACAGGGTGGGAGGGGGCTGTGCCTCGGTCGGCACAGAGAGAGAGCATGGGGAATGAGGGGGGACCAGCTGTCTGACCTCCAGGTTGGACCCAGAACCACGCCTGTGCATTGTGCCCACAGATCCTGGTCCCACTGGTTCTATAACTGGTTCTTATCTGGCAGAACTTGGGTCTGTGCTGAGACTGAGCCATCCCACAGCATCCCCCTCTAAGTGCTGATTTGCACATGGTGGTTCAGAGCACTTCACTCAGCTGGGCTCCTGCTAAGTGCTGGGCAGAGCCTCACTGTGCTTCTGGGTGGTATTAAGTGAGTTCCAACCAGACTTCCCCTAGAGAGCTGTGCGACTGTAGAGATTGCTCAGCCTCTCTGGGCATCAATTCTTTACCTATAAAGTGGGATCTAACTCAGATCACTGATAAAGGTGCTGTAAGGATTAACTGAGTGGTCCACATGAAGAATAATTATTGCTGGTTTTCTCATAGAAGCAGTGGTGCAGACTGAGCTCTCAGGGAAGGTGGTACAGCGTGTATTTATGACAGGCTGGGTCTATTTGTGTTGTTTTATTTAATTTTCATGGTACACCCATGATGCCCCAGTATATGCCCATTTTACAGATGAACTCACAAAGACCAAAGAAATGTATTTCTCAGAAAGTGGTGGAGCTGAGATCAGACCCCAAGTGATGAGGCCTTAAAACTTGCATTCTTTCTCTTCTGGCTCTTCCTAATTGCTGCACCAGGGGCTGGGGAGATAGCTCAGCTGTCTAAGTGCCTGCCTCGCAAGCGCAAGGACCTGAGTTTAATCTCCAGTACCACATCCCATGCTGGCTCCAGAACTTGGTATGGTGACACACACCTGTAATCCCAGTGCTGGGGAGGCTGAGACAGAAGGATCACTAGGAGTCCAAGCTGCGTGGTGAGACCCTGTAACCAAATAAATACATTTGAAAAAAATAACTAATTGCTACACCAAGCAAAGCCCCCCAGGTGGCATTGCTGAGAAGCCAGCTTGGGAACTCCTTTTCAGGGGCTGCTTAGCTAAGCTCTCTGGCTCAAGCCTGATGAGATCAGTAGTTGTCACGCTGACCAGGGGCCTCCCCAGAGGACACAGCCTGAAGTCCTCACCCCCCAGGCTCACTGCTGACCCCTCACCTGCGGGCCTCCTCTCGGGCCAGCAGCAGGTGAGCAGGTGACAATGTAGGGCTGCAGCTTGAGCATTCTTAGGCTGAAGGCCAAGCTGGTTTCAGCTTCCCCGAGACAAAGGGGTCAGCCAGCGGGCCTGAGAAGAAGCCAGCTAATGTGCCCTGGAACAGCAGGGAGCCTAGGTTCCTTCCTTCTCTGTAGAGAAGGGACATTCAGAGGGCCAGGCAGGACAGCTGTTGCCATCTACTTGGCATGTGACCTTGGACAAGCCACACATTTCATTGATGAGGGAATTCATCCGGGCTCTCTCAGAGGAAATCCAGACAGATCTGGAGCAGGCAGGCTGAAGTAGGACAAGTGCCCTGGTGGCTTGTCCTTGCTGCCTGCTGACTGGAGGCGGGTGACCTCAGCTCTGTGGAACACAGATGTCTCCCCCAGCAGCTTGTGTAGGCTGTCCTTGTAAGCTTTGGGGAGACAAGACTGTGAGCTCACGTCATCCAGGAAGCAGGCAGCTAGGTGAATTACCCGTTAGACTTGGCCTTGCCTCCGGCTTTCCAGCTGCACTTAGCCCAGATCATGCCACAGCGAGAGTGCCTGCCCAGCCCCACCCCAGCCCTGCAAGACCTTTCTCCAACCTACTTACTTCTCTGTTCTGTCTTCTGCGGCCACCAAAGGGCCTCCTGGGCTCAAGTTCTACCACGCCTGTGTGTACTCAGTGTTGCTTTCCAGTGTATATAGTATAAAATGAATGCATACCTAAAAATACAATGCATGCTTGTCACAACAATTGTGTTTGGTACAGGGTCTCACTACGTAACTAGGACTCATAGTGATCCTTCTGTTTTTAGCCTCCCCAGCACTGAGATTACAGGCACAAACCATCAGCCCAGTCTCTGTTGCTGGCTCAGCCTCCTGGGGACAGGGCCAGAGTGGCATGTGGTGCCAGGGATCAAGCCCCTGTCCCTGGGCTTGCCCAAGCAGGTACTTAGTCCCCTGAGCTATCTCACTGTTCCTTGTCATAACAAATGAAGCAACACAGATTCCGTAAGGAAAAGGTAACTGTCTCTATCCCGGACACCGGTCTCCCTAAGAAATAACACATACACACTACTGCATCAGCATGAAATTATCCACGTCAGTAATTTGACAATGAGCCAGGACACCATGTGTCATCTCTTGAGTTTTATTTTGCTATGTTTTCCCAATATTTACCATCTGGCTGAGTTTTCTCTTCCTGCCTTCTTGGGACAGGCTCTACCCTTTAAACACTTCTGTCAGCTGTCATGTCTGCAGCAGCAGGCATTCCTTTCATATAGGGAAGGGCTAAATGGATCCATTGATTCTAGGTAGAGAAGGGATGTCCAAGGCTTCTCAGGGCAGCTGAACCACCCCAGGTCTGTCTCTGGTTTCCAAGTAAATGTGCAGGAGGGGCCAGGAAAGCAGAAAGACTTGGCCTCCAGTCCTGGCCTCAGCCACTTACTCATGTGACCTTGAACAAGTTCTCCAGCCTCATGCCTACAAGTTGGCAGCATTGCTGTGCATGCAGCCAGCCACAGCCAGAGGAGACCCTCTTTTTCAGTGAGGCTTAAGAATGCCTGAGCTTAAATCCCAGCATGCACCTATTAGCTCTGCCTCCAAGACAGGTTCCTTCACCTCCCTAGGCCTCATTTTTCTCCTCTCTGAAATGGGCTGATAAATGCCATCTTTGCCTTAGGGTCTCCACATGAGACAAGACTGGAGCCCAGGACTTGTGCTGTAGGAGGCACCAGGAGCTGGTGATAGTGGCATCTTTATTTTTTTTCTTCTGAAAAACAAGGCGCCTCCTTTATCAGCTCCTCATTTTCCCTTCAGAGGATGGGGTTCTCAAAGCCAGTGGCTGTCTGAATTGAGTCGGTGGTTTTATCTAAAACAAACACAGGTCCTGCCATTATATGGAGTCGGGGCCAGACAGCCTCAGTGCAGCAAGGGAGGCCACAGAATTCCTGGTCGTGCTGTCCCTACGGCTCACCTCAGCCACTCAGGATGTGGAGAAGCGCGTTCCAATAAAAACTCCCAGAGGAAGCAGTGGGCCGATTAAATGGTGTGCTGTCTTCACTCTCTGGGACTTTGGAGAGTGACTGAGACAGTTTCTGGAACTCAAGGGTCCCTGGAGGAAGTACACAGGCAGTTAGGACCACTGTTATCTGCCCCTCCCAGATCATTTTCATACCCACCTCCAAAGTGTGCCTCCAGGCGTGGTTCTCCTGGGTGTCGAAAAGAGATCTCCCAGTGTCGGAAACTGAACTTTAGGCTGGAACCATCCTCACTCATCCTGTTTCCTAGACCTGACCCACCTTTCCCTGGCCTCCACAGCTCCTTGCCCCGTAGAAGCAGGAAGGGGTGCCACTTTCCACACAGCTTTTCCCCGTCCCAAACGCTTCCTGCCCCTTCTCAGTCACCATCTCTGCCCCCTCGGCCCTCACCCACCCAGGATATTGTGGTAGCTCCCTCCCTGTGACTTATTCCTTGCTTTGGCTCTTGTCCCCCTGGATCCTGCAAGGTCATAGGTGCCCCTGAGTGAGGAAGGAGAGAAGGCTGGAGAGTGTGCTGTGGGTTGTCTCCATGGCCTCCGGGAAGCAGAGGGAAGGACTTCTACCTGCTGCCAGGGCTCTTGCCTCAGCTAGTGCTACCCATGTGGTATAGGCGAGATGCTCCTGGAGGGGCAGGAATGCTGGCCTGCAAGCCACATCCCACCAGTCCCTCCCTCATTTCCTCTTCATGCAAATTTCAGAGGACACCAGCCTCATCTCCCTGTGCTATGATGTGCCAGACACTGCTCATTAACTCTGGACCCTGCTCTCTGCTCTCCCAGCCAGTGTTGCTGGGGGCCTACTATGCACCATCTGGGACTAGTTCTGGGGACACAGAATGTAGGGTGAGGCAGGCCAGGTCCAGCCCCAACTCCATTTCCACACTGACCTCCCCCCTCAAGCCGGGCTCCCTGGGCCAACTTCCCAGTCCTCCCTGCCATCCTCTCTGCTGGCTTTGTTGATTTCTCTTCAATAGTCTCCTGTGTACCTAGATCATCAGCTCGCTCGCTCTCTGTCTCTCTTTCTCTCTCTGTTTCTCTCTGTCTCTGTCTCTCTCTCTCTCTCTCTCTCTCTCTCTCTCTCTCTCTCTCTCCCTCAGCACTGAGCTGCAAGCCACATGCAGACAAGCCCATGTGCCCCCACACCCAGCCTGGCAGCTGCCAAACACTAACTTGACACACAGCTCTGTGAAAGCTGGCAAATCCGACACCGGGCTGTGGGGAGCACTTTGAACTTGTTAGAGGGCAGCCTTGCAACGAACAGAGGGGGCTGCACTTGAAGGGTGGGCTTCACTTGAAGGGTGGTCTCCCTCCAGATGCCAGAAGAGGCCAGGAGCCCTTGAGATATAACTCAGAACTCTCTGTGGTCACCACAACCAGGCTGTGCCACAGAAGCCTTTCTCTGTACCTCTTATCTAGGTGGCCTTGGGGCCCTGAGGGAGGGAGATGCCAGGCCCGCCCTTGAGCCTGTACACAGAGTGCCTTCCCATACCCTGGCCCTGGTATTTCAGGGTCATGGCCAGAGCCAGATGTGGACAATGAGACACAGCTTCCAGGGCATGGTAAACCATGACCATTCTCCCTTCTAAGAGCTCAGCTGCTGTGTTGCCATAGAAGTGAGGCCCCTGGAGTGGGAGCTCTCATGTACACCCCCAAGATCTACTTCCTGAGTCTTATGGGCCAGCTCTCCCCATTTCCAGTCTCACCCTGACGAGGACATGGAGAGCACATGGGTATTGCCAGTGCTCTGCAGCAGGACAGCCTGTCATTGAGGCCCCCAGCCCCAGGTCTCTGGCCCCTGGGTTTCCCTTCACACCTGCCCCTGTCCTGGGCTGTCTCTTTGACATCAGAAACATTGGAGTTTGGGATGCTGTGACCAGTGACAGCCATGGCGCTCTTATGCATAAGAACCAGGGGACAGGGAGCTCTCTGGGGTGAGGACTGGGAAATCTGAGTGAAGACTGGATAGGAAGTGACTCGGGTCCTTGGCATTAAGTGGCGTCAACAAGTTTCTTCAAACAGCATGCCCTTTTATGTCCCCTTCCTTGGCCCCATTCTGTCCTGCTCCCCCAAGCAGTGGCCTCCTTCCTACCCAGTGAACACCTTTCCATCTTTGAGACACTGCTCAACAGAACATCTTCTGGAGGCCCTGACCTCTTCCCCCGACAAGCAAGCAGAGAGACTTTGCTCTATGTTGGACACTTTTGCCTTGTTCAAAGCACTTTTGTGTCTTGTGGCTTTGCCTTTGCAGGTCTGTGTCCACTGTTGGATTCTGAGCTCTTGGGGGCAGGGAGCAAGTTTTATTTTTAATCATAAAATTCAGTACCCAGGGGCTGGGGAGATGGCTCAGTGGAATAAGCGCTTCCCTGGCAAGCGCAAGGGCGTGAGTTCAATCCCCGGTTCCCCAAAAATAAAAAACAAAAAGCTCAGTGCCCAGCCCGGTGCCAGGCACCCACCAAGAGTCCAGAATGCTGAGCACCTTCTGAAGCAGACATCTTAGGAGAGGCTTTAGGCCACTGAGAAAGCCTAGAAGCCAAGCCAGGTTTTTAACAGGGTTGAATGCAGGAGCCTTCGGGGGACAGGGATATTGTCCCTTTTGTCTCCAGAGCTTGTACCCTGCCTGGCCCAGAGTATCTGGGATCTGTCCAGTGGATAAATGGATGAGAAGAGAATCTGAACCGGGGAAAAGTGGCAGAAGCCGTGAGGCGCTCCCCAGAGAGGGCCTAGGGAATCGAGTGTGGTCTGAGGCGGGCACAGGAGCCCCAGCACATAGTAGGTGCTTTGAGGACCACAGCACCAGGACATAGTTCCCTTCACCCACTAGATGAGAATTTCCCATGGATGATCTGTGAATGCCATGGTGAAAAGCCGCTAGCCTGGCTGGGGTTGGGTGGAAGAGGGAGTGGAAAACAGCCCTTTGAGTCATCTGTCAGCCTGGCGACCATGACTGGCCCCTGGGAGAAAGAAATGGAAAGGCCATTCATAAGAAACCTTTTAAGCTTCCTCCAACTCCAGTTATTTTCTTTTTTACAATGCCAGGGGTTAGACCCAGGGCCTTGTGCTTGCAAATGCTGTACCACTGAGCTATATTCTGCTATGACTTATCATTCTAGAAAATTCTACAGCCAGTGTGAGCGAGGCAGAGAGGAAGGCCCAAGTGTACTACAGAGCATGTATGAACGAAAGCAGGATTGAGGAGCTCAAGGCCAAACCCCTAATGGAGCTGATTGAGAAGGTAGGTCCCTGGGGCAGGCTTGGCAGCTCCTCCTGCCCACCCCCTCTGGCTCTGCCCCAGCTCTGCCCTCACGCCTCCAGCCACCCCACCCCATAAGAGTGAGGAGCCCGTCTGTCTGCTGCATGTGCACGGCTGCCCTGCCTGTGTGGGTGGGGCTGTGTTTGGGCGTCATGTGTCAGCATCTGTTGGGAGGGCTGTCTCTGTGTGTCTGTGTCAGGTACAGGGACCATGGTCACAGGAGTACTTCCTCTTTGGTGTTTCTTTCTTCCACATACAGCAAAGGGTCTTTGTATGTGTGGAGAGGTGTGTGTTGCTCCCAACAGACCAACAGAGCCATGGACTGGGCCATACTCCATGTTGCAGTGAGGGGGCCCCTGTCACTCAAGGCCTCTCTTTAATGCCACGACAGGGGGAAGACTCCTTCTCCTGGGCACATCTCCATCAGGCCTGGGCAGGCTCTGAGGAGGGCTGCCAGGCTGCCTGGCACAGCAGAGGTGGCCGTGTGTGTTTGCTGGCCACCCTGTGCTCCCTTGAGGACTCCACTTCCTAGCTTGTCCCCAGGAAGGTCTTACAGCAGAATTGGTGGCCACAGGCACTGAGACTGACCCGGTCCCTCCTGTCTGGTACAGGCCACTTGTGCCAGTGTGTGCCAAGCCAGGGAGGATCAAGGAAGTTACTAAAAAAAAATCCCAACTTGGAGAAGGACTAAAGTAGACCATAGTTAAACCTTTTTCAAAATATGGTTCCCCCCCTCCAATAAGCACAATTGAAATTGTGTCTTAGAGTAATTACATTCACATGATTCAAATTTTAAAAAGTAGTATAAGAGGCACAATCTCTTCCATCCCCATCCCAGCGTCGAAAGAGCAGTGCCACAGATTCATAGCCTCCCCCATGAGGCTCCGGCTCAGGTCAGAAACCCCCAGTGAATACTGTCCCTGTCATTTGCCCTGTACTCAAGAGACCAGGCAGCTACTCTGGAGTCACAGAGCCAAGGTAGTTGCACGGACAGAATTTGCGTGCAGGCCTAGAAACCACCTTCTCCCCTCCCTGCCTGCTATTCCTCCCCACAGCTCGGAGGCTGGAATATCACAGGACCCTGGGCCAAGGACAACTTCCAGGATACCCTGCAGGTGGTCACTGCCCACTACCGCACCTCCCCCTTCTTCTCCGTCTATGTCAGTGCCGACTCCAAGAACTCCAACAGCAACGTGATCCAGGTGAGTGGCCCGGAGCCCAGAAGAGCACAGGGCATGATCTCTTTCTCTACAAGTTCAGCAAGCACCAGCTGGGGTATGGGCAGCACTGGGCTCAGTGCGGGGTCTGGTCTTTATGATGGCCCCTGTGATAAGGTTTTGTCAGGCAAGAAACTCTGAGGACTCAGGCCGCCGAGCTGTCCATGACCTGCTCTAGGCCCCAGGAATGGTGGGAGACATCAGTTCCCAGCTATAATGGCAGCCACCTTGGCTCCTCACCTTAGCCTCTGGCTCTGTTTAGAACAGTAATGGGGTGGGGGGCATACCTGTCCTCCAGCAGTCTAGGAAGCTGAGGCAGGAGAAGTTCAAATTCAGCCCCAACCTGGGCAATTTAACCTTTTGTGAGACCCTGTCTGAAAATAAAAAGTAAAAAAGAGCTAGGGTGGGTAGCTCAGTGCAAAGGCCACAGTGGCACTTCCCCTCCCCTGCCACACACGCACGGTGTTGAATCCATCCGTCCCTGCAGGGCCTACCCCTGCCTGAAGATCAGCACAGAGAGGGAAGCTCCTAAACTGAGTCTTAAGGCTGCTTGCCTAGCCCATGTTTGTCAGGCACCTGCTGTGTAACCTTAGCTCAACTTGTTGCCTTTTTTGAGACAGGGTCTCACTATGCAGCTCAGGCTGGCCTTGAACCAAGCTGGTCTCAAACTCACAACAATCCTCCTGCCTCAGTCTCCCCAGTAGTGGGATTACAGGAGTGCACCGCCACGCCTCGAAGGTCAACCTTTCTGAGGTTCAATTTCCTGACCAGCCAAATGAACTATAATAGCACTGAGGTGTGTCAAGAGGAGGCCACAAAACTCCAACAGTAACTAACAGAATTGACCCTTTCCTGGGCCGATGAGATAGCTCAGTGGATTAAGTGCCTACTTAGGCAAGCGCAGGGACCAGGGTTCAATCCTGGGCACCACATGCCATGCTGGCCCCAACCCTCAGCCACTGAGCCAGCTACCAAGTCCAGGCATGGTAGTGCACATCTATGATCCCAGTGCTGGGGAGTCTGAAAACAGGAGGATCACTATGAGTCTAAGCTGCGCAGTGAGATCCTGTACCAAATACATTAAAAATATATATATATTTTGACCCTCTTTTGTCTGCCCAGAAGTCCATGGACTCCTTTACCAACTCTATCTCTCTGAAACTTCAGTTCAGCTCTGAAGGTTAGGTGTTATTTCATTTATTTTTGAGAAGAGGAATATGCACATCAGAAAGATTAATCCACTTGACCTTGGTCAGACAGCCTGTGGTGAGCTCCTAACCATTTGGGTGGTGTTTGGCAAAATAGGTTGGCTCTGCCAAGGCCAGGAGGTGCTTCAAGAAGAGGTGGGCTCTGTCCAGCCCCTTAGAGGGGCCCAGAAGCCCAGTAGCTAACTGTGTACAAGCAGGAGGGCACCTGCCCCTTCCCAGGGTGGGCCCATCAGTGACTTCAACTACCAGCTTGTTTTGCTGGGAGCCAGGATGGCCTTCTGGTGCCATGTGTCAGTGCCTCCCAGGCAGGCAGAGGGTGTGTGATAGACACCTGCATGGGGACCCCCAAAGGACCCTCTCTCACTGCCACTGTCCTCTCCAGGTGGACCAATCTGGCCTGGGCTTGCCTTCCAGGGACTATTACTTGAACAAAACCGAAAACGAAAAGGTGAGTATGCTCTGCAGAGTACTGGCTTGGACCCCACCCACCCTCCTGTGAGTCTCCCCTCGGTGACCACCCCCAGAACACCTCAGGCAGCACAGAAGTATCTTTCCTGATGAGTGACGGGCAAGGGAGGGATGCCCAAAATTGGCTGGGTCATATTCAGGCATCGTGGGCATAAGAGATAGGAGATAGATATAATTTGTCCCCATTCTACAGAGAGGCCACAGTAATAGCCACCACCCTTGGGGGGTGCTAGACCTTTGTGTACAACACCTGTAATCTTCCCAGTAATGCTGTAGTTGCTGAACTTCTCTGAATTTCACTTGCCTCGTCTGTCATGGGCTATTACTTTTACCTCGCCTTTTACGGAGGAGGAAATAAGACTCAGAGATGCCGAGTGAGCTATTGAAGGTCCCACAGCCAGTAAGTGGTGAGACTGTACCTCCTGACACCCAGGGAGCTCTGGCCAAAGGCCCACTCACTGTTCACTCTTTGCTCCAGCCTTCTGTCTTGAGCAGGCTGCTACCGAGTGCCTGGTGTTGGCCAGATAATGACAAAAAGATCAGCCTGGTCCTTTGAGGTCCAGTAGGGAAGACAGATTGCATTGCTGGCCACAACTAGATGAATAGCCACCACTGTGAACAGGGCAGGGACAGCCGAGAAATGTAATATTGGCCCTGATTCAGGTCTGGGGATGTGGTCTGAGAGCATTTTAGAAAAGGTACATCCCAAAAACAGAAAGATGGCCGAGGGTAAGCTCAGAAAGATGGGGCCCGGATGGAAGTGACTGGCCCACCTGGGGAACCTGTGGCAATGCAGAGGTGTTTCAGCTCTACCCTTAAGGCAGTGAGTGGGCAGCCAGCAAGCAGATGGAGCCCCCAAACCACTGTCAAGGCTGGGGATGTGGCTCAGTGATAGAGCCCTTGCCTGGGTTGTACAAGGCCCTGTCCCATCCTGGCATCTTCCCAAAAGCACATTGAGGCTGTGTTTCCAGCAGGCCGCTGGGGTGAAGTCCAGCCCCTGGCCCTGAGCCCTGGGCTGCAGTCAGGCCTGTGCCTCTGTTCCTCCCCTGGCCCAGTAGGCATCAAGTGGCAGCCACTGACCATCTTGGTGTGCTCGGTCCTTCAGGTGCTGACTGGATACCTGAACTACATGGTCCAGCTGGGGAAGCTACTGGGCGGGGGGGATGAGGATGCCATCCGGCCCCAAATGCAGCAGATCCTGGACTTTGAGACAGCACTGGCCAACATCACCATCCCCCAGGAGAAGCGTCGGGACGAGGAGCTCATCTACCACAAAATGACGGCTGCCGAGCTGCAGGTACCTTGCACCCTGCTGCCCCAGAGGCTGGGCCTGCTGCTTCACTTCAGATGGGACCCTGAGCTGGGGGTTTGTACCTGCTTGTCAGAATCCTGTGAACACCTTGCGTTGTGCCCAGTCACAGATGCCACACTGAGTCTCAGAGAGGCCAGGTTACCTACTGAAGGCCACATGGCACGGACTCCAAAGCTAGGCTCTTGCCCTGCACTGGGCTGCTGTCTGTGACAGCATTGTGTGGAGATTCTATAGTTGTAATTGCTCACATGAGAAGCTCCTGGTCACAGGAAGAACTAAACAAACCCAAGCTGTCCTTGCCTCTACCTTTTCTGAGCTAGGAGGCTAAGTGACATGGTCAGGGCCCAGGCATTACCAAGGGACAGAGGAGTGGCCTTAGAAGGTAGGCTCATAGGCTAGCTTATTGAAGCTCAGCCCTTAACCTGTCCCTTGGGACCTCCCTGAGGTTTGCCTCAATAGGAGACCTGCCTTTTCCCTAACAGTGGACATGTAAGGCTGCCCCCTGGTGGCTGCTTGGGCCTTGAGCGTCCTGAGGTGACTGCCTGTGGGGTCATTCTTCCCCATGCCTCCTGCCACTATCCAGCCTCGGGATTCTGGTGGCCATCAGCAGGGTAGTGTCTTCTGGCACCCTTGTTTTTGTCATCAGGGAGACTGCTCAGCTAGGGCAGGAGAAATACCCCTCCTGGGCTGAGTTGCTGCCAACCTGTCTTCTTGCTTCTCTCCCTTCTGTCCTGCCCAGGAAGAGTGCCAGGTCCTACCCTTTTCACCTCCTCCATTTGACAAATGTTAACAGCCAGAGATTACCTTGAGCCTTGCTCTCCTGTGCTTCCAGGCTAGTAGGGGACAGTAGGAAGCAGTCACAGTCTTCCTCCAAGTGCTTTGGGCGAGAGCAGCAGGGCCCTGGGGCCAAAAGGGGTGAAATCAAGGGAAGGTAATGACAGGTACATGTTGGCCAGGCTGACGGTGTCCCAGGAGATGCAGTGTCTAGAGGCCTAGAATGAGGCAAGAGAGCCTGACTTCCTGCAGGTGCCAGCTCCCCTAGGGAGCCAGGGTACCAGGGCGAGTGGCGCTGAGCAGGTTGTTATGGAGATCAGTAGCTGCTATTGAGTACCATCTGGCACTGTTTTTCCACTCTGAGGCCAGGAGGTCCATAGAGATGCTATATTTGTGCGGTGTAATTTGGTTTGCTGCAGCTGCGAGGATCTCAGCCTGAGAGGTCTCCCCATGGCCTCACAATGACTATGATGCTGACATTCATGTCCAAAGGGGTGGAGGTGGCACAGTAGCCCCGAACATAGAGCCCATCATGGCTACCAGGTTCCAGTACCTGGCATCTTCTCCCATTGCTTCTGGGATCCACTTCTATGGGGCCAGCAGAGCGGCAGCCTACATGTGCCAACCTGGGCACAGAGTCGGAAGATGGCTCCAGCCTGTTGTGCATCAAGCTGTGCGACCTTGGACTGGTCGTATACTTACTTCACCCCTTTGGGCCTCGGCCGCCTTCCTGACAAAATCAACCTTTGCTCTTGCAGACACCCCCGCTTTGTGTCAGAACATAGAGACTGGGAGATAGCTGCCCTCACAAGGGACAGTGGTTCTTCACTGTCATAGGGTCTTTTAGGGACAACTGGGAAGCTCTGGAATATCACCAAAGCAGATAGGCTTCAGCACATTTAAAAAACTGTGTCCAACACCTAAAGAGGTCTTGGCCCCCTGAAGCCTGGCATAAGAACCTCAGCCCCTTAAGCATGGTGGTGCATTCCTGTAATTCCACCACTCTGGGAGGCTGAAACCAAGAGATCTCAAGTTTGAGCCCCATCTGGGAAACTTAATGAATTCATGAGCTTTTGTCTCAAATAAAATAATAATAATAATGATAATTATAATAAGGGCCAGTGTATAGGCCTTGGGATCAATTATTTTTAACTTATTTATTTATTTTATTTGGTACAGGGTCTCACTATGCAGGTTGGACTCACAGTGATCCTCCTGTTTTCAGCCTCCCCAGCACTGGGATTACAGGCGTGCGCCACCAAGTGTAGACTTGGTCCCCAGCTCAGCATGCCCAGGGGTGGGGCCAGTGTGGCCTGTGGTGCCAGGGATTGAACTTGGGATCAATTAAAAAAAAAAAAAAAACTACCCAGGCACGGTGGCACATGCCTGTGACCCCAGCACTCTGTTTGTTTTTTTTTGTTTTTGGCGGAACTGGGGATTGAACTCAGGACCTTGCACTTGCCAAGGAAGCAGTTGTTCCACTGAGCCATCTCCCCAGCCCCAACCCTAGCACTCTGAAAGGCAACAATAGGAAGAGAGCAAGTCCAAGCCCAACCTGGGCCACTAGTGACTTAGCAAGACCCTGTCACAAAATTGAAAAAAAGAAAATTGGAAAGGGATTGAAGATATAGTTCAATTCAAAGCCCTTCAGTCTCTTTTACTGAAAAGCAAAACAAAACCAACACCAAGCTCTGCCTTGCCTGGCCTACTTACAGAGTAGCAAAAGACCAAGATGAGGCAAAGGATAGGGGGTCGCTTTGTAAACTGACCTGGCCAATGGAAGCTTAACACTATTGTCGTTATCATTCCTTCATAATCTCTGGGCTGGGGATATAGTTCAGTGGCACAGCACCTGCCCAGCAAGCACAAGGTCCTGAGTTCGATTCCCCGTACCAAAAGAAAAAAAAAAAACCTTCACAATCTGCAATGAGGACCAGGTTCAAAATTAATTTGATCATTGTACCTTGGAACGGAGAAGGTCTTACCCACTGGGAGCTGGAGGTTTGGTTTTCTTCCCATCCTCAGGAAGACCCAAGGAAGGGCAGCCAGGCTGACAGTGAGGGCCAGGCTTACCTTGCTGGGGTGCAGATTGGCTCTGGTGCCATTCTGGACCTGCCCATTCCTTCCTGCACCACCACACATGGCCAGAACTTGAGTTTTAGACTCATAGTCTCCAGTTACCCATGACACAGGAAAGTCACCTTACCTCATCTGCAGGTACAGCCTCTCCTAAGGTGGGGGTGGGGCTGAGGGCGCCTCCCTCCCAAGGGCCTCTGGGTGTCACCAATAAGCCATGGGTTGATCTGATGTTAGAGACTGGCCTGGCATCGTTGCCTTTCCCATAGATGCTTCTCTCACTTCCTTTCTCTGCCCTCCTTGGGGGATCAGAGAACACAATTTGAAATTGTTCGGGCGCAGGGCTGCTGTAGGACACCATGCCTATAAAGCCTAGCATTGATGATTGCTTGCTGCAGACAGGCGCCCACCCAAGTGACTGACGTGTGCAGGCATCTTTGCTAACCCGCAGAGTATGTAACCCTTTTCTTTACAGAAAGATGCACATTCTGTAAAATTGCACGCTGAGAATAACAGCATGGGGGAGTGTACAGAACATGGGGAACGGAGGCTGGGGCCAACCTTCAGAAGTCGTAGGGCTCTGCTTAAGAATGTTTGCTTTGTGCAATAAGCCACTGACCAGATAGATACTATAAGATGGCATTTATATGAGGTTCCCAGAGTAATCAAATTCAAAAAGACTGAGACAGAAAATAAAAAGGTCATTTGCCAGGGACCTGGGGAGGGGGTGAGTGTCAAGATTCAGTTTTGTTTCAGTTCTGCGGCACGGGGGATGGACACAGCGCTTTGCACATGCTGGGCAAGTGCTCTGCCACTGAGCTGTACCCCAGCTCCTTTTTATTTCGTTTGAGACAGGATTACTGTCCAGGCTGGAACTTGTGACCCTCCATCCTCAGCGTCCCAAGTAGCACAGCTTTAGCTAACTCCCGCCAGCCTCCAGGCCTGCGGTGTGTGCAGGGGCTGAGCTTGGGCTTCTCCCTCCTCCTGCAGGTGATCTTTGATTCCACTTTTCTAGCCCCTGGGCCTGGGGCCATCACCTACAGGCCACGTAGTTTATACTTTGTGCTGTTTTTCTACCTGAATGCCCTGGTGCTATAGAACCCTATACCTATACCTATACCTATACCTGTACCATACCTATACCTATACCTATACCTATACCTATACCATACCTATACCTATACCTATACCATACCTATACCTATACCTTACCTATACCTATACCTATACTTATACCTATACCTATACCTACATTAAATAGAACCAACAGCACTGGCTGCTGTGACCCTCCCGGCTGGGTTCTGTTCCCAGGGGGCTCCCCATTTCTAGATGAGGTGCTGAGGGATGGAGAGGTTTGTTACACTTACTCAGGGTTGCACAGCAGTAAGCAGGGAGGCTGAAATCGGGCGGTCTAGCTCTGGATCCCTAACTGTGAGAGGCCTGCTGGAGCCTCGTTCTCTCTGTACGTGAATCACACAGGCAGGGCATGGTGAGGAGGGGAAGGTGCTGTCTCTTCCCTTATGCTAGCCTAGCTCCACATCAAGTTTGAAACCCTGATGTCTGACTCCTTATGCTGCTGCCCCCAGCATCCCTGGCATTTAGGCAGCTTCTACCTCTACCTGCCACCACCCTGCCCTCCTCATCCAAATACAGAAGGCACAATGACTCCAGCACCTCCTTGTCCCCTTCCCTCACAGACCTTGGCACCTGCCATCCACTGGCTGCCCTTTCTGAACACCATCTTCTATCCTGTGGAGATCAATGAGACTGAGCCAATTGTGGTCTACGACAAAGAGTACCTTGAGCAGGTCTCCACCCTCATCAACAACACCGACAGATGGTAAGGGGACAGACATGGGGAAGGCCCGAGCAGGCCGCCCTCCACTCAGGCCAGGGACAGTGGTGATAAACTGAATCCAGAAAATGGGCTCTGGATGGGCTTTTATGAGGGATGGAAGGGTATCCTAGTTACAAGATCAAGTTCAAACCCTGGCTCCCCTCCTAGCAGCACTATAGCCTTAGGCAAGTTTCTTATCGTTTTTCGGGGTCATTTCCTCATCCAGAAAGTTAGGCTATAAATAGCACCTACCATTAGGGCAGCTGTGAGGATTAAGTGAAATAACCCAGGGAAAGGATAGTAACTCAGTGCTAGACTCCAAATAGGACTCATAAATGCTATTATTTTTGATTAGTATTTGTGATGTTTTTTTAAAAAAAATTGAGAGACAGTCTCACTGTGTAGGTCAGGCTGGTCTTGAACTCATTATGAAGCCCAGGCTGGCCTCAAACTTGTGGTGATCCTCCTGCCTCATCCGCCAGCATGCTGGGATTACTACAGGCCTTTGCTACCATACCCAGCATAATTTTTTTTTTTTTTAATTTTAAAGACTTAACACAAATGCTGAAAATCACAGCAAGTAGGAAAAAACATTTAAATTACTCACTTCTACTGTCATATGGGATATGTATGTTTTGGGGTGTGCGTCTATAGAAGAAGAAGGTGGGGTAGTTTCTAAAATGTGGTTCTTTTCTCCCACCATTGTGACTAGATGTGGCCACAGCCTAGACATGGCCTGCTTTGCCTTTGATTTTACCACAAGCATGCTCCCTGTGTCAACCCAAACACTCTATAAAAATCTTTTTTTGCGGTCACATAGTATTCCAGCAAGTATAAATACAATCATTTTCTTCCTCCTCACCGTGTTGTCAGACATTAGAGTTGCTTCCAGTTGAGGAAGCTGGGTGTTCACTGTAGTGACCATCATTGGTGCTGATGTCACTTCTTTGTAAACTCAACAGCAGCCACAGCCAGGATCCTGTGCCTTGGGTTGGGCAATGGGAGCTGCCATTCATGGAGACTTTGGCCCCGTTGGCTGGAGCTTCCCTTCCTAACCCTTTCTGGCCTGCTGGACTGGCCGTCACTTAGCTGTGGCATGGAGCCCCTCCCCACCTTCCCTATATGTAGTGCACACCATCCGAATGAGTCCCCGAGCCCACGAGCAGCAGCTTCAGGGCTCCAGACACAAAGTAGTTCGTGATAGCATCTATCGATCACCAGTAGTAACCAAGTGACTGCATTAGACATCAAGGGTCATCCTGTTGTGTTGTGTGCAGTGCTGGGGACAAAACCCAGGGCTGTGAGCCTGCTGAGGGCATGCCCAGCCCAGGGCTTTCTATGGTAGAAGACTGTCTTCACTCCTGAGGGGCTCACATCGGTGTGCTCCCTGAGAGACTGTGACCAGCCCAAGCCCAGGCAGGCTGCAGCAGAGCCCAGGAGACACCTAGGGGCTGGTGAGGGAAGTGCTGCACAGGGTGCCTCCAAGCCAGTGGCTCCTGTGTCCCCTCTCCCCAGCCTGCTGAACAACTACATGATCTGGAACCTGGTGCGGAAAACAAGCTCGTTCCTTGACCAGCGCTTTCAGGATGCCGACGAGAAGTTCATGGAAGTCATGTATGGTACCAGGAAGGTGAGCATGGCACACGTATGCACGTGCTGAGCTCCTACTGTGTGCTGGACCCTGGGATGGGGATTTGGTAGGCGTGTATATGACTATTTATTTATTTATTTATTTTTAGCAGAACTGGGGATTGAACTCAGGCCCTTGCGCTTGCCAGGCAAGCGCTTATTCTACTGAGCCATCTCCCGGGCCCCAAGGGAACTTTTTTTTTTTTTTTTTTTTTTAATTTTATTTATTTATGTGTGTGTATGTGTGTGTGTGTGTGTGTGTGTGTGTGTGTGTGGCCAGCTCAGCCTACCAGGGGGTGGGGCTGGCTGGCATGTGGTGCTGGGGGATTGAACCGTGGTCCCTGTGCTTTGCTGAGGTTGTTCTAAGTAGGTGCTTTAGACCACTGAGCCATCTCACCAGCCCGGGAACTTTTTATAGACAGAGTCTGACCAAGTTGCAAGATGATGGTCACAGAGACCCTTCTGTGTCCGGAGAACTCACCCGCGTATCTCTTACCCTCCTGCATTCAGAGGAAGGAACTAAGGCTCCAGGAGGGAAAGCAACTTGCTCGTAAGTGGAGAGCGCTCTCTCGCCTGGCACCTCTGTGCCCCTGGCCTATGCGCTGTGCACTGTCTGTATCTCTCAGCCTTAGCTCCATAAGAAAGACAGCAAAAGCTGAGTCTCCTGTGACCTCCAGGGACCAAGACAGGAAGGAGAAAGGAATTATTGTTCCATGAAGACAGCTTCAGATATGCAAAATGAGAAAGTCTAGGAATTAGTTGTACAATGTTCACGGTGTGTCTCGCTGTGTAGCCCAGGCTGGCCTGGAACTTGTGGCAGTCTCTTTCCTCAGCCTCCTGATTATAGACAGGCACCACCCTGCTTGCCCTGTGAACATACTTACACTGCTGAAAAAATGGTTCAAAAATGGTTAAGGTGGGTCTGGGAGTGTGGCTCAGTGGTAGAGCACATGTTTACCATGTGAGGCCCTGGGTATAATCGCCAGCACCACAAAAGAAAGAAAAAAGAGGTTAAGGTAAGAACCTTTATGTTATGTGGATTGTAACCCAGTTTTTAAAAATGAACCCGCTAGGGCTGGGGAGATAGCTCAGCAGCATAAATGTCAGCCTAGAAAGTGTAAGGTCTTGAGTTCAATCCCCAGTACCAAAAAAAAAAAAAAAAAAAAGAACTTACTAAGAGTGAGCTTCCTAGGGCCCGGTTCAGAGTACATGATGCCACCATACCTTGACTTGCAGAGAGGTGGGACCCGGGGCAGCGGCAAGGGCAACAGGGGTTTTGCCTCCCTGGCCAAGGTGTGGAGGGTGCTCTTCACTAGCTGCTCAGTCCAAATCTCCCCACTCCTCCTTCAGGCTGCCTCTGGGTGCAGGCCAGCTCAGGCCTGTGTGTGATGTTGGGGGGTCCTCATACCATTCTGAACCTTAGTTTTCTTGTCTGCGATTTTGGAATAGCTCTTGACCTCATCTTACAGGACCCTTGGGATTGGCCTCTGCTCAGGAAAATGGCCGTCCTGTGTCCGGCAGCAGCAGAGTGCGGCCTTCCTTATGGTCGGGACAGAGCTGGACTTAGGGAAATAGCGTGGAATGTGGGGTCAGAGATTCTAGTGTGAAGTACTTCTCACCACACAACCCTGGGCAAAGCACTCGAGTGAGGCAACGGCTCAGGCTTCTCATCTGTCCCAAAGGCTAAAGCACCCTGCCCTGGAGATTTGTCATCAGCCATTATCTGCATGTGACTTGCAAGTTCGGCAGAGAGGAGGGGCCCTGCTCTAAACCCTTCCCCTGCCCTTGCTTAGTGGCCCCTGTGTTACACTGCAAAGGAGGACGGAAGATACTGGCTGGCTGCTCCTTGTCTTCCCGGAGGTGGCTTCCAGGTCACCTTGAGATGATGGTTTACACACACACACATACACACACTCACTCACTCACTCACACACACACATTCTACTCCTTTCAGAGATTTTTCTCAGAGCCACTTATTGCTTGAGTGACCCCTTTGGGCAAGTAATGTAACCTGTCTGTACCCTAGTTTGTTCATCTTTAAAAAAGATCAAAGAGGATCCCCACCAGTGTGACTCTTAGGAGCACCTGATGGAATGGAGCCAGCATGTGGTAACACTCAGATCTTCCCCATGACTGCTGTTGGTGTGGTAACGGGTGGTGACCTGTCTTCCTCTCCTGCTGGGTGCTTGGGCATTCTGATAGAATGCTCAGGACAAGCCTGTTGTCTCTTTAGCTTCAGTTTTCCAGGAGCGGGGCCCCATCGCAGCACAGTGGAACTGCCCAGAGAACTAATGCGTGGGGGAATCGGTGGGTCTAGACAGACCCCCCAAAGACAGCTGATGAGAACCACAGTTTGGTCATCATGGCCTGGATGCCCCCATGGAACCTCAGGTTTAGAGTCCCAGCCATGACTCTAGCCAGATCCTATGCAGATGTGTCCAGCAGTGGGCTTCCCAGCTGTGGAAGGGCAGGCAGGAAGAGGAGGAAGAGGCCTGCTAGGGACACATAGTTGGGAAAACTGGAAAGAACTTGGGGAACTACACATAGAGAAGCCTACCCTGCCCATCTCTTTTCTAGAAAACTTTTTTTCAGTAAGACATAATTTACTTACAATAAAATATACAGCTTTGAACTGTATAAGCATACAATGAGTTTTGACGATTGAAGTCATCTACATAACCATTCCCCGAGGAAGACTGAGTACATGGCCTACTTACCTAACATCCTCTAAGCAGAAAGTTCTCTTGTGCCCCCTTCCTACCAGTCCCCTCGCCCCTGGGATGTGATGGAGGTGGGTGTAGACAGAAACATCCTCTGTACCTGGCTGCTTGCGCTCAGCATAAGTGTGTGGAATTTACCCAAGCTGTTGTATTTGTGAGTAGTTCATTCCTTTCTGTTACTAAGTAGAATGTTGCTGTATAAAAATATCACATTGTGTTTATCCGTTTGTCTGCCAGTGGGCATTTGGGTTGTCTGCACTTTGGAGCTGGTACAATCCAGCTGCTTTGCGGGAGGTTGTTCCCCTGCTCCATAGGGCTGAGGGGACGCCAGCTCTCCCTGCAACAGGAGGAACGTCTGGGAGCAGGGCCACTGCTATGGTCCCTCACACTGTCCACGGGGGGACACCCAGGCAGGGGGATGAGTGGGCTGGAGCATCCCCAGGCAGTCATCAGGATGGATGCTCCAGAGGCCTGCACCCTCAGACGCATTTCCAGATCACAAAAATGTCCCATGGACTTATGGGGGCCCCAGAGGGAGAGCACGGAGGAACCCAACACATGGGAACCTTTCCGGGAAAGTTTCCTGTCGCCCAGGTAACTTCCTAGTGTCCTCCAGACAGCAGGCCAAGGGAGGGGTAGGGAGGGGGCCTTCATTACGTTCTCATTGCTGAGGTACAACACCTGACCCCAGAGGTCTATGGTGGAAAGGGGTAGTTTAGCTCACAGTTTGTAGATTTTAGTACAGCATCAGCTGGCTCCAGGATGATATGGCAGAGGAAAAGAGCTCATGCAGGTTGGCAAGAAGCAGAGGGAAGAAGGGTAAGGGCCACACTCCCCTACACACATGCACGCGCACACACACTCATGCACGCGCACACACACGCAATGACCCAATCCTCCAATTAAGCTTCACTTCTCAACATCACTTGAGCTATAAATCCATCAGTGGGGGCTGGTGAGATGGCTCAGTGGTCTAAAGCACCTACTTAGAACAAGCTGAACAAAGCAAAGGGACCACGGTCCAATCCCCCAGCACCACATGCCAGCCAGCCCCACCCCCTGGTGGGCTGAGCTAGCCACACATACACACACACACACACACACACACACACACACACACACACATAAATAAATAAATTAAAAAATAAATAAATAAATAAATAAATCCATCAGTGGACTTAATCCACTAATGAGTATCACACCCTGTGATCCAACCACCCCTCCAAAGTCCACACCTATGAGCACATGAGGCTTTGGTGGGGATATCGAGTTGGGGAGTCAGGCATGTCTGAGGTCCCCCTCTCACCCCACACAGCACTCTTCCCCTGGTGTGGGACCCTGGGCTAGTGGTGCCCCTTGCTGAGTTTCAGTTTTCTCATCCATCCAATGGCCCATAACCCGTGCTTGCAGGGGCATTTCGATGGTTCAGTGCTGTTGGAATGCCAGGTGAAGAGGCCGGCACTCCTGAAACAGTAGGGGGTAGCCCCAAAATAACTTGTGCTGGGCCAGTCCACTTAGTGTCTCCCTGAAGTTCTGGAGAGTGCCACCTCCAAGACAGGATGGGGAAGAGGATGGGGAGTCAGTGAGCCTTTCCCTTGCATTTTCCAGACCTGCCTTCCCCGCTGGAAATTTTGCGTGAGTGACACGGAAAACAACTTAGGCTTCGCCCTGGGCCCCATGTTCGTCAAAGCGACCTTTGCCGAGGACAGCAAGAACATAGTGAGTGCTCCGTTGTAGACGCAGACTGTCACATCACTCCTGCATGCTGTGATACCACTCCGTGGGCCCGACAGCCCTCTCCGTGGTCTGCTCCAGGCCTAGGACTCAGGGTCAGCCCTTAACCCTGAGGTCTGTTTCTCAGGGTGTGGAGGGTGAGATGATGCTCGTACTAGCTACTGTCGTCGAGTGCCAGGGCCACTGTCCATATTATCTAATTTGACCTTTTCAGTGACCCCATGGGGTCGGTACAGCCACCTCCATCTCCAGGCCCAAGAAAGCCCCAGTGAGATAATGTTAATGGAGCAGCTCCGGCCCAGAGGTGATCTTTTGCCTACTCTGGATACAGCTAGATTGTTCTGGTCAGGCAAAGGGATCATCCTGCTAAGTACAACCGGGACATCCCTGGCTAAGATCCTGGCCCTGTCTCTACCTAGGCATTGTTCTCACCTGTCACAGGTGACACAGCGGTGGGGCTGTCCCTCTTGCGAGGAAGTTATATTCTACATACAATGAGCCCTTGGGACAACGTAAGGTTCTATTTAATAAGTGACAGCTGTTGGGTCACTGTTACGGGTTCTATTGCTGAGAGCACTGGTTGCACTGATGTGCTCTGCAGTCGGAGGTTAGCAGACTGTGGCTCGAATCTGTTCACCTCTTGCCTGTGGGCAGCTGGGTCAACATCCGTCAGCCAGAGCCCCATTGGGCTCACTGCTGCGTGGCTGTGTCTTGGCCACAGGATTGAACCCTCTATAACTGCCGTTTGTCTCCAGGGTGAGCTTGGCATTTTTGAAACTACTCTTCAGAATTGAGCCCTTGGATATTAAAGCTCATCGCATCCCAAAGGAAGTCTGTGGTCCAGTCAGTCTGGGAGAAGCTATATGTTTTCTAGCCAGAACCCCACAACATAGACTTCTCCTGCTTCCCTGAGCTTGTCCCAGCTTGTCTGACCCCTGTTTGTGGAAGCCCAGAAGATGGTTCAGAAACAGGACCCATGGCTGGCCTCGGTGACCTGAGGCTGTGAGGCAAACCTGGGTGTAGGCTGTGGCCCTGCATCATCCATCAGCAGGGGGCGCCACTGGTTTAGGTGAGGCCAGTACCTAGCCCTTCCTGTCTCCTCAGGCCAGTGAGATTATCCTGGAGATCAAGAAGGCATTTGAAGAGAGCCTAAGCACCCTGAAGTGGATGGATGAAGACACCCGGAAATCTGCCAAGGAGAAGGTGAGCTGCAGCTGCAGGTGGAGGAAGGAGGGACTGGTTCCATCCCAGGGCACGCAGGGATACTGTCCTGCCCTGTAAACTAGGTCTAGCTGGGTGGGGACAGCCTCAGGTCCCTGACTTCATGGTGACTGTGAGAATACCTGTGACAGACAGGAGGCGCGCATTCGTGGGAACACGGGGGGAGCCAGGAGCCTACTTCTGTGAGAACTACCCCACTTCCACAGAGTGACACAGGACCCAGTGCCCTCTGAAGGGCCCCTCCTCTCCACACAGTGGCATTGGGAACTTGGTGTCCAGCACATGTGCTGGGGACATATTCAAATCCTAGCAGCTTCTCTTGGAGAAGTGACCTGGAAGACGGGCAGAGGTTAGGGGAAAGGGAAATCATTGCTGGGGGCTTACTCCCTCCCTCGTGTCCCTCCTGTCCAGGCGGATGCCATTTACAATATGATAGGCTACCCCAACTTCATCATGGACCCCAAGGAGCTGGACAAAGTCTTCAACGATGTGAGTGGCTCCCACCTACCCCTTTGTATCTCACATGCCCCCTTGGGAAAAGGAAATGTGGAGTGGGTCCAGGTGGGTGACTGTGGATGTCTCGAGGTGATGGGGTAAGGCCTGGGGGTGGGCGGGGCATGAAGAAGCCATTCCTTACTCCTTCATCTCCAAGGTCCGCTGGAAGCCTTGCCTCCCTGGATCTATCATCAGGCGACAGGCAGTGCCCACCCTGAGCACATGCTATGCTATGTGTCCACTGGAGATGGTCAGCTCCTTGGAATGAGTGGAAGGTAGTGGGTGGTGGGCCAGGGGTACAGAGTATGCTTAGCATACCCAAGGCCCTGGATTCAATCCCCAGCATTACAGGAAAGGGGGTGGCGTTAGAAGGGGAAAGGAAAAGAAAGGAAGAGAGAGGAAGGGGAGGGGAGGGGGAAGAAGAGTGGGAAAGAAAGGGAAGGACAGGGCAGGGGAGGGGAGGGGAGGGCAAGGGAGGGGGAATACCCATTCTGCAAGGTGCAGGAAGAACTGAGGGTCCTAAAACATCACAATGCAATAAACCTGCTCCCATCCCCAAGTTTCCTCCTGTCTCTGGGGTCCCTCCCCACCTTCTCAGACAAAACTTGGACCTCTAATTTTGACTTTGAATGCCTGCACGAAAGAGGAAGAATAAATCCCAAGTGCATTTTTAAGCTTAATTGTGGCAACAAGGATAATTGCAGCATCCCTGCTGGTTAGAACTTTTAGAAAGTCACTTGTCCTTTAATTGGATTGTGCTTTTGTCCCACATGACAAAGTTCTGCCTCTTCTCCTGATTGCAATGTGTGGATTCAGGCATTTCTGAAATTATAATGGCCTCTCATCATGGTTCTATTTAAAACCTCAGAATATCCAAAATTGCTTCAGGGAACACGAGACTCATTCTGGAAGCCTCATTCTATGAGACTAATTTAAGATGCTCCAGGGTCAGGGATACAAGATCTGGGCTTCTGGAGGTAGCTCAGGCAGTCCCAGGGTCCTCTGTGAGGGCCCAACATTTACCAGAGGCAGCAAGATGTGCAGAGGATCTAGGCCAGAGTTTCAAGGGCCTTTCAGAAGGGAAAGGTGTGTGAGTGACACTGCCCGAGGTAGGTTTCGGCTCGATGCATTGCATCTATGCTGTCTGGTATGGGAGCTGCTGGCTGCAGAGGGCTATTTAATTAAAAGTTAAATTAAATTAAAATTTAAAGGCCACACTAGGGCCACGGAGATGGCTCAGTGGAGTAAGCACTTCCCTGGCAAGCGCAAGGACCTGAGTTCAATCCCCGGTTCCACCAAAAAAATAAAAAAATAAAGGCCACACTAGCACATTCAAAAGGCCGCATAGCCACTTGTCACTAGAGTCTACCCTGCTCACTAGTGCGGGTGCGTCCTTGTGAGACGTCCAGGTGCTGCTGCAGGGGCGCTCCTGTCACACTGTCAGCCCCCTGAGTGGAGAAGCTCTTACCGTGTCATTGAAGGGGAGAGATAGCGGCAGCCCCAGCAGGTGACAACTGACAGAGGAGCCCCAGCTTGCTTTCCTGAGCCTGCAGAGCACCCTACCCTGTGTCATCTCAGTTTCCTCGGCGCTCAGAAGTGTGCCCCGTCTGGGCATGCTGTGACCTGTGTCTTTTTCTTTTTCCAGTACACCGCAGTTCCAGACCTCTATTTTGAGAATGCCATGCGATTTTTCAACTTTTCATGGAGGGTCACAGCTGACCAGCTCAGGAAAGCCCCCAACAGAGATCAGTGAGTTCCTGGGTCCTGCTGGGAAGGCGCTGGCTCCCCCTCAACACACAGAGAGACGCACAGTCATGAGAGCCCTCTGAGGAGAAGAGACTGCTGTTGTCCCACTTTTCAGAAACCAGAGGCCAACTTGGGTCCAGCCAGGGGCTGCTACAGGCCCCAGGATGTGCACCCAGCCTGTTGGCAGGGTGAGCCAGGCCTCCACTGCTGAGTGTACGTGACACTGTGTGCCAGCTCCACGGCCTCAGCATTCAGAGCCTTCCTTCCATTTATCTGTAGAATAGGCCGGAAGGCTATGGTGACTGTCAGACATGAGAACTTCTGGGGAGGGCCAGGCCCTCCTTGAAGGTTAGGATCCCATAACTTCTCAGGAACAGGAGTTCTGACTCCTTGGGGACAGGTCTCCCATACAGGCGTGGGAAAGGTTCTGGATGCGCCCTGAATCTCACTAGGCTCAGCACTCCCTGTGGAACATTTTCAAAAACCATAACCACCTGGGCCAGGGGTGGAGCTCAGTGGGGTAAAGAGTGTTTGCTTGACTCTCAAGTCAGAAAAAGCTGGAGTAATACCTGCGTTTAAAAAAAGAGAAAAATGTCCCCTCAGAAACATTAGATGTCAGCCTGGGACTAGGTCTCATTTCTGCAAATTTTACCAGAAAGTGAAGCAACTTCTCTTTGCCTGTGGCTCCTCCTCGTGGGCAACAATGGTTCAAACACCTCTTTTCGTCCAAGTTTCCCCTCTTCAACCAGGGTCTCCCCTAAAAGGACAAGGTTGTGGCTTTGACCTAGGGAGTATAGTATTGATTCTTTCAACAATTTATCTGGATTTTTAAATTTTAGTTTAGGGGCTGGTGAGATGGCTCAGTGGTCTAAAGCACCTACTTAGAATCAAGCTTAGCTAAAGCACAGGGACCACAGTTCAATCCCCCAGCACCACA